AATGGTTTGAACTCTTTGAAAAAATTGGTATAACATCAAGTAACGAGATTTCAAATTCCCAGATAAGAAACAAAATTTTCAAACCAGAAGGAAATTATTCAGTAAAAATTCAAGGCTAAAAGGAAATGTTAAAAAAAAAAAAACTAAACTAAAAATATTGTNAATTCCCAGATAAGAAACAAAATTTTCAAACCAGAAGGAAATTATTCAGTAAAAATTCAAGGTTAAAAGGAAATGTTAAAAAAAAACTAAACTAAAAATATTGTAAAAAATAGGATCCACCCCCAGCCCCCAGCCAAAGGTTAGGTTAGAAAAATGCAATCAACACTGCCCCATCCCACATATTTCTCTTAGAAAAGCCACCCAATCCTGAACACAGGGTCTCAATACACAAATTCATGTAGCTTGATTTGCAGATCGGCCTCAGGGATCTTACACTGGCCCCAGTTAGAAGTTTAAAAAGAAAAATTAAGTTAGGTAGTTAGAGATCTGTAAATACCAGTATCCAAATGAATGAAAATATCCTGGCTTTGGTATGGCTACAGAAATCTATCTGGAAATTGTTCAAGAGGACACTAACTCGGAAAAGAAGGGGGGGGGTCACTCAGATACCCTCAAGCAGAGGTAAAATAAATACTGGGACACATCCATAGCAAACACTATATATAAATACTTGAGGCAGACACCTCTAACAAAACACAAGTACAAGTTCTTGATCAGAGCTCTCTTGACCAACCTTTTTCAAAGTATCACTTGCAGGAAATAGTTTGAATTTAAGAATTCACCTGATGCCCTGGGGTCTACTGAGAGACAAAGACCTTTTGGAATAAGAATGGCCACCTAGGCTAAAAGCCAGCCTCCTCTTATTTCGGGAATCTCAAAGTCTGTTTTCCCCTCTTAGTTAAGCTTCTGACCACCACAGAAGTGCCTCCATCTACTAACAAAAGGGCTTCTTCTTCCCCTGGTCACCAAGGCCTGTCAGAATAGCTCAACTCTTGATTTTTCACCTCTGGGGTGACTGAATAAAAAATTAAACCATCTGAGATTAGGAATAGAGTTTACTATGCTGTGTCTCGAGTCTACTTCACATGTGCCCGCATTTTCACTAGGTCATAATTAGGGGTGGTGAGGACACTGAGGAGGAGAAGGCAGCGGAGGGAGTGGGGGTGTTGAGATCATATCTAAGCACAGCCTCAAACACCCTCAAAAGTTATAGGAGAGAGAAGGCAAAAGTGCCAATACCCTGGTGTTCAAATAGTTACTTCACAAAAGCACAAAGGTGCCATCAGAAAAGGCAAGAAAAAAAGGCAACGTGTTGCTGCTTCAATGCACCACCCCCAGTGGTTATCAGTATGATCCTTTCTAATAAAAACAAACTTTGGTATACTGTTTAGAAGGACAAAAAAGATAATTAAAAAAACAAAAACAAAAAACCTTCAATGACAAAACATTAAATATATACCTAAATAAGTTTCCATCACAGGGCACTAGATGATAACCAAGGGCTACCTGACATGCGATGTTATACACACCACAGTGACAATTCAAGCAAGAGCCACCAAGAACAAAGAAAAGGTGAAGCCTCTGTTTACCGTGGACTTGGTTCATTATAGTAAACATCATAACAATGGGGTGTTAGAGGGCAGAGAAGAAACACAGAGCGCCCAGGCAACTTTTGATAAATAGCATCACTTATCCTGTTTTCTCCAACACCAGAAGAAAAAAAAATGAGAAAAAATGAATTATAAATTAAAATAAAATATATCTGTACAAGTGTCTACTCTGAGTCAGTAAGGTTTGGTCTCTATAGAAGGCAGAATTTAGGAGGAGGTGATTTACTTGTCGTCACAGCCAACTTGCTTTGGGGAAGGTACATCAAGAGACAACATGAAGAGAATCACTTGAGACCAAGGGAATTCCTTAGAAGATTTTCTAGGATGTGAAGGTCTACTGATTGCCCATAGAAATGCTAACAGTTGCTCTACCCCCAAATTCTTTAAACATCTCAACATGGCAACTAGAGTATAGTAAACCCCATCACCCAATGAATCATCTCTCCAATCACGGGAATGAGGGCAAGGAGCATTGCGTGTAGGCAAGGCGGTTTCATCAGGACTCATCAGGAAGAGTGTGGGTTTAGTGGTAGCAACAGCAGAGCTTTCTTTGTCTTCAACCTGGGCCAGATCTCCTGGGAGGCTGTGAGTGCCCAGGGCCTGACGCCAAGGTTCTAATAGGTTTGGAATGGCCCATGTGCAATGATGGCAAGAGCAACAAGAGTGAAATGTGATTTATGTGTGAGAGTCTACA